AATGGCAGTTTAGGAGCCAATAGGCTCTTGACTTGAGTCCCTGCCTGCCGTCTGTCCTGCAAGTCTTCTTGCCCAACTGTGGGGTTGTGGGCACTAAGAAACGGGGCGAGCCAAGTTCAAAGTCAGGTTCCCTGGGCTGGGAAGCACCTGGACAGTTGCGCTAGAAAAACCATCATTCGGTTGGACCATGCTCCCTGCCCCCACTCTTAAGCACAGCCTACTCCTTCCCGTCCTGTGCACACAGGAGGACTTCCCTCCCTGGGGGTGATATGACAATCTCTCACAACAGGCAGGTGAGCTGCTACATATGAAGGACACCATGTCCCCAGGGATTTCATCACCCCACCTCTTCCCTCCCCCCAGCCAGCCGGGAGAGAGGTACTAGCATAGGCCAGAACGCTTGGAAGCAGGTCAGCCATGCCTCCCGGCTCATCGGAGGCCCCCTCTCTCAAACCGCGCCGCTGCGGCCCGGGCCCCGCCCGGCTCCGGTTCCCCGCGGGCACCCAGTACCCCACTGCCTACCAGGCGGGCCCAGGCGGCTCTCGCTGGCCTTGGTGGAGTGGGGTAGCCGCGACCGCAGAGGCGGGTACCCACCAGAGATCTGCGGTACCTGGGCGCAGGGATGTGGCCCCCACAGGTGCTCATGGTCCTTGAGGGTATCCCTGTCTCCCCTTGGGGTGGGCGGCTCCAGCCCAGGCCACGCACCTGCTGCTGCGGTCGCCGCGGGGACCTCCGCGCTGTACCGGCGCCTCCTGGGAGACGCTCTCTGCCCAGGGCGCCCGGTGCGGCGAAGGAGAGAAGGAGCAGCGCGGGGCCTGCAGCTGGGCCTCCAGGGACCTGGGGCCGCATAGCTTCGGGCGCCAAGCCAAGCGCCCCCAGCGGACTGGGAGAAGCTGTGCCCGCCCCTCGCGCATCCTCAGGAGCGCATCCTCCGCCTAGGCAGCATTTCGGCCCCGGCCTCAGCCCGGACATCTCCAATAGTCCCTTACCTGGGTCGGTGGCAGGTCCAGGGGAGGGGCCCGAGGCTACCGCAGGGCCCCGCGCCGGGGCGCAGGATGCTCAGCCCCGCTCCGCCGCTGCGCCGGCCAGCCGCCGCGCCCCGCCTGCGGCCCCGCCCCTCCGCCCGCGGTGGCTCCTCCCCTGGCCTCCGTGCCTGGCCCCTCCGCCGCGGCTGCTGTCACACAAAGAGCCGGAAATGGTTGCGGTGAGGGGCTCCCTGCGCACCCCTGATCTGCAACCTCCGGCTCCTAAGGGCCGCGCTGGACTCATACCTTCCGGCTTTAGAGCATTCAGCTTCCCTACTCTGGAGGTGGAGAAGGAGGGACGCCTTCTCTGCTGCTTGCCTCCATCACCAGCGACACCTGCCACCCCCGAAGGAAGGAAGCTTCGGCTTCATTCGCATCTCCCCAGAGTCAAACTATTTTCAAGTAGTCATTTCTCCATCACATCTTTATCGACTACCTGTTTTGTTCCAAGCGTCTTGTCCAAAGCCAGGTATGCACTGGTGTACATAGAGCCCCTTGCCCGCTTGGAGCTTATTATCTAGCAGCATTAACTGACCCAGGTCCAGTGACAGCTGGGAAAATCAGCTAAACAAGGGAGCAGGCTGAGCTAGGGGTTGGGACCTCCCCCTAATTGAGCTTTCTCCTTAGTGGCCCGCTTGTGGTCAAGAATAAGTTCTCCTGGGGCCTGTGGCTCAGAGGGTGAATGAAGGTGCTTGCTGTTAAGCCTGTTAACTTTGTTAGATCCACGTAAAGAAAGGAGAGAGAGAGCTCCTGTAAATTGTCCTCTGATCTCCACCCACATGCACTCACACACATATGCACACTCACATACACATATGCACACAATGAGTAAATGCAGTAATTTAAAAATAAAGAGAAACTTCTCCCACTTTTCCATTTCTTAGAGTAGAACCCTGAAGCTATCATGTATTGCCTTGTGAACAAAATCATGATATGCAAACTTTTAGGAAATTCAAGGAAGAAGCTGAGGGAACAGGTACTTTTTTTTGTCTTTAGATACTGCTCAGGGCTGTTCAAAGAATCTGTGCTCCTTAAGATGCAGCCTAGAGGCCTTTAGATAGGGAGGCAGCGGGCTGCATGGAGTCCTCCTGGCCTGTAAATTTAGCCCAGGAGAACTAATTGGAAAGTACTTGAGACAGTAGAGTGTGTGTAGAAATAATAAGTAAAGCCTTGGGTCGAGGGAACCTTCTGCAATGCTTGTTAGAGTTCACAAATTTGGATGTACCCAAAGTTGTTCCCTATAAATGGCTACTGATGGAGAAACAGCTTTATGCAAATCTCAGGGAAGTACTCGAGAAGACTTCACTGATCTCACATACTTCCCCCAGGGCTCAGAATTCACGGTCCTTTGTGGTTTGATGTAACATCACTGGTCTAATTTAGATTTCTATTTCAGAAGTGATGACTTACATATATAGAGACACACATACATTCCCACCTCTGATGCCATGTGAGAAAGCTGTGGGGGTGTTTGTGGAGGATGGCTTTAAAAACAGAACTCCAGTTTCTTTCTTTTCTTTTTTTCACTTTTAGGTGGTTGTGAGTCACCCTGTAGTTGCTGGGAATAGAACTCAGGGCCTTTGGAAGTGCAGCCAAGGCTCTTAACCTCTGAGCCATCTCTCCAGCCCTTGAAATCATTCTTAATGTACATTGTTGGGCTACAATATATTAAAGCTAAAATATAAAAGAGCTGATGAGATGGTTTAGTAGGTAAAGGTGCTTGCTGCCAAGCCTGATGATATGAGTTCGATTCCTGGGACCTACATTGTAGGAGAAGAGAACTGACTTCCACAAGTTGTTATCCGGCCTTCACGTATGCACCATGACACACATGTACCCACCCATAAACATACAATAAGTAAATGTAATCAGTGGAGGCAAAACCAAGTATCATTTGAAACAGAAAAAGAAACAACACTGTGTATTACTACATGTAGCACTTCCTATTCGATTCTAAAGAAACATAATCAGTTATGTAATTTAGATTGGTTGCTATATAATACTCCACATTGCCTCATTTTCTAGATGGGATGTCCAGAAAGGGGAAAGGTCACAGAAAGGTGGCTGGTCCCAGACTCTAGATCTTTCTCTAGGGAACTAGGTTGCTGTAGTTTTTCTTAGACGCTGAAAATATTTGCTAAGGAAAACATTCACCTGTCACCTGACATTCATTGACTGCTTATTTGGCGCCAAGCCCTGTGCCAGGGCTTGTGTATGGACGGGCTCCTTCCAGGCCCACAAAATTCTAATATGTAGCTTTGTTACATAATAGATGGAACTTTAAGGACTTGTTTTATGGTTGAGACCTGGCTGCTCCATCCACCTGAACAGCACACCTTTCCCTGTTGCATTTCTGTCTTTGTGTCTGTTTCTGACACATCAAGAGACCTAGCCCACCCCCACCTTGAAGATTTCATTTCTATTTAAACAAATCCCACTTATGAACATTTCAGATAATAACTAAAAAGAAGGGTGTTACAAAACCTGAGAGTGAAAGTCAGGCACCGTCCCAGGTTCTCTTGCACTCTCAGAGGCCAGTGAGGGGCTCCATAACCCTGTCACACAGTGGTTGAGAGCACTGGGAATGGGGCTTTACTTGAAGCCCCATCTTCTAGTTCCTATGGTAGGACCATGAGTGATTTACACAACTCCCTGGGTGGGTCTCTTTATTTGTAAAATTGGGAAGATATTATTGGACCCTTTCCTTAGGCTCTTGTGAAGATAAATGAAACAACTCCTCTAACAGGCTAAGAGTCTAATACATGGGAAATGTTCAAGAACAGGATCTAGTGTTGCTGCTGTTAAATGCGGATTGCATTTTGAATGATCCTTGAAGAAGTTCAGAACTCTAAGTTTCACGGTCCAACCTCTGCAACTCAAAGTATGTGAGTGACTTCTCTGACCCTGCTTCCTCCTGTGACACACCCACTCCTGAAAATACCCCACAGAGGATGGGAAGATCAAATTAGGCAAGACAGTGCTTCTAGAAGGCCAAAACAGGAAAGCAAGCAATGTTTGAGTTGTTTGTCTCGGCTTGTGGGCTCATCTACCCCCAAGTCAGCCTTTGAGAAGCAGGAAACTCCATAGCAGCTCTGAAAGTGTATAGGGACCGGATTGGCTCATCAGCCAAGAGTCTGAGGCGTCAGGATCTGCCAGGCTCCTTCAGCCAACTCTCACGTGATTGTGGCTGTGCACACGTAACACAGAAACATAGTAGGTGTGTTAGTCACACTGTACTATTGCTATGAAGAGATACCATGACCCGGCAACTCTTACAAAAGAAAGTATTTAAAAGAATATATAGGAAATATAAAATAAAGCTTACAGTTTCATAGGCTTTGGCCCTTATTATCATGGTGGAGAGCATGGCAGCACCCATGGCTCTGGGGCAGCAGCTGATCTGCAGGCAACAGGCAACGAGATTGGCCCACCCCCAGTGACACACCTCCAACCAGGTCATGCCCACTCAAGGCCATGCCTCCTAACATTTCTAATCCTTTAAAGAGTTCCACTGCCTGGTAACTAAGCATTCAAATAAATATATGAGCCTATGGCGAAACATTTTTATTCAAGCCACCACAGTAGGTGAATAGACACATGTGTGAAATAAATTGTCTCTACACTGCTTCTAACAGTATCTGCATAATTCATGCCCTGATGGCCTGTACTGACATTGTACAGTAAATTCTGTGTGTCCGACTCCCGGGGACAGGTTGACGATGGCATGGTTGTGTCCATCCATCCTCCAGTGTGGCAGAGAATGCAACTGCTTCTCAAGCTCGACAAAGATCTAGAACATGCTTTACCTCACAGAGCTTGTTGCCAGCCAAAGACACACCTGCCGGCTTCATCTGCCTTCTCCAGAGTGGTGAGGTAACAGTGAGCGGTGAGAGGGAAGACCGGGATGATGAAGAGAGTAAAACTCAGCCACATCAGTTGGATGCGGTTGGACCAGCACAGCATACAGGTCTGACCCCCATTCCCCACACCCCCATTCTGCAACATGGTACAGCCTGTCATGAGTTCTCTGTGGCTCTTGCCCACTCCGATCACGTCAGATCACTCTCTGTAACCACGCGTTTGTTTGCTAAAACTCAACCTAATTTTCACACACAGTTTCTGGAGGCATCAGTGTGCTCCCTGCACAAGGGACCAAATAAAATGGAAATCTCGTTTTCCTCAGCTGTGACTCAGAAGGTCTCTAACCCTAGTCAGGCAGATGGTAAGTATTGGCTGTTACCATCAAATAGAAAAAGGTACCACATGACTGACGGGATGAAAAGGAAGAGATCCATGGTGTTAAAACCCAGGGGAAAGGCCCTGGGCTCGGAGGGACCATTTTAACCACCATAGCTTTTGTTTCTTGGCGTTGTTGACCAGCCAGTATGCATAGCTTCTAGTCAAGTTATGCAGTGACTGGTAAAAACAGCTGCCAGTTTGAAATGCCAGCTCTGTCCTCCATGTCACTACCAACAATCAGGCCTTACCTGGCAGTGCTCTTCCTTTCTCTGCCTTATATAGCAGCATTATGCTTCAATATATGAATTCTTGAAAATAGTTGACACCAGAGCTCTCCAATGATTCTCAGAGCATCAGCCACAGATGGGAGCCCCGCAGTCGAAAGCAGACAGAAGCCACAAAGTTCAACAGGACAGCAGTGCTGGGGGGGAGTGGACAGTGGGCAGTGAGTGGGAAGCAGGTCTCAGTGGGAAGCAGGGGAGCCGGGGTCTGGAAGAAGCAGCTACCAGGAGGCAGAGCTAGTATCTCCAGTAGTACCACTTTTTTTTTTTTTTTGGTTTTTACGAGACAAGGTTTCTCTGTATTGTTTTGGAGGCTGTCGGTCCAGCCTGGCCTCGAACTCACAGAGATCTGCCTGCCTCTGCCTCCCGAGTGCTGGGATTAAAGACGTGCGCCACCACCGCCCGGCTAGTAGTACCACTTTTAAGGCCATTGGAAATTAATATGAATTCTAACCTCAGAACACATGCTTACCACGCAAATACAGCATCCTCATCTAACCACACTCCTCATCTGGGGTATCTTCTGTCTTGTCCTTAAAATGGTGGGACTGTGTGTTGGGAGAATCAGGGAGCAGGGGCCCTGCAGGAAGAATCCTGAGAAGCAAATCTGTCTGTCCAAGCTCCTTTAGAGCTTTCCCATGTGATTATATCCTAGTCAGGCACCAAGCCCAGTGTGGCGTCCTAGACACAGTCCAGTAGAAGTCCCATGCTTTCCTCCCCCTGGCTGATGGCCCATAGAGCAAGGGTGCATTCCTGAACTGAACTTGGGTATTTGTGAGCTGAGACACATTAAATGCCCAACACACCCAAACCCTGAAAACCAAGCTTGCAATCCATGGAAGTTTTAAGAGGAGTAACTACTTCTTACTGTCAGGAATGGCAGAGGAACTTGGACTTACAGTAGCAGCATGTCACCCACACAGCAGACAGTGAGTGCGTATGGTCAGTGGCCTAGCACTGTGTGTAAGTGCAGGCTTGCTTCTCTTCCATCAACTTTGCCTTTCTCAATTCAACTCATTCCACTGCTGGCAGAATGTATTTTAAATGCAAATTGGATTCCCTCTTCCTGATCCATCAAATTTTTACCTAGAGAGTAAAATTTCATCTTCCTGGGCTTTTAAAATATGCCTAGTTTTATAGTTTGTTTCAATGTAGCCACTGATGGCCATTCTCACCATCCAACAGCAAATGCTTGCACACACACACACACACACACACACACACACACACACACACCAGAAACAACAAACTCATAACTTCCCCAAATATTCTGTTTCCTCAACTTGCAAAATACTTCTATTAGTTCTGCCCACTTCCTAAAAATACCTGTAATTTATCTCCAAAATTAAGTCAGATTTATACTCTCTATGGGGATGTTTCTTAAAGTTAGTGTGAATTATCACTGCCTGGATCTTGTTGAAACGAAGATCTTTTCAATAGGTAAAGATGAAGCCTTAGGCTCTGCTCCTGACCTGACAATGTTGCTGCTGACCCTCAGTGGACAGTTTGAGAAATGAGGTGCCAGAAAATCTCCCCCAGGTCACTCTTGCCCAGACTAACTTTATCACCTTTCCCCTAGTTTTCTCTGACAGACAACCCTTCCATTGTTGTCTTAATTGCTGTATTCTAATCTTACTTGATTCTGTGTCTGACTTCTCAGCTAGGAGCTTTTAGACTTCTTAGTTTCTGTGAGCATCTGTGCCCTGTGTTGAAAAAACTTGATAATGTGTTGGATGCATGTGGCATGCCACTGATGGTTAGGTCTCAAGCAAATGGCCAACTGAGGTGCCCATTTAATATAACAAAGGGGACCTGGTCACCAGGTTCTCCCAGCATCCCTCAGTCTCTACCTGTTACAGAATATGGCTGGCATATCTTTCCCCTATCCTAAACTTCTCCAGTCCAGGGGTTGGGCTGCCCTTCCCTATATAATCCAGCCATTTTGGCTACCCTGCCCCTTTTCATCTACTCTTTACTCTCCTGGCTCCCCTCTCTCCATCTCCTCACATGGCACTACTCAAGGTCATGTCCACTCTGGACTCTCCCAGATGTCTGCACCTCTGGCTATGCTCTCCCTCATATCTACAATAAACATTCTCTTCCACTATACTTAGGAGCAGTCATGTCCTTTCTTTTTCTTTCTTCCTTTGGTTCTTCATTCAAAAGCCATGTTACCATTTTTATTTAAGCAAAAATTGAGGTGTCAGCAATTTGGAACTCAAGCCACAGACCCTATATTTGTAAAATATATAGCTTTATTTTTTGCCATATGCAGCTGTTGACTTGTGGCCTCTATAGAGGATAAGGCATATATGCAGTATTTTTTTTTTTGAGACAGGGTTTCTCTGTGTAGCTTTGTAGACCAGGCTGGCTTTGAACTCACAGAGATCTGCCTGCCTCTGCCTCCCAAGTGCTGGGATTAAAGGCGTGCGCCCCCACAGCTTGACAGTATTTTTATCTTGTACATGAGCAATAAATACTCTCAATCCAGGCATAAATACATAGTCCCAAACATTACAAATTGCAAGACCTACAAAGTACAAGTGGAACCCAAACTATGCATCGGGGGATACAGATGAATACAGAGCACCATTTGCAAGAATTAAGAAAGAAACCAGCTGACGAGAATCCCATTCCCATGCAGGACCCTGGAGAGGTGCACACAGGTCTGTCAGAGCCTCCTTGGATCTGAAGTTAAGGAAGACAATACCACCATATGGAGGGCAGTCTTCCAAACCATACCCCAGTCACCTCTCAGTGCCAGTGTTTTCCTTCTAGATTGAATGTCCCAGAAACTGCCTCTAAATTAAGGGTTCCAAATAGAGAATATACAGTAGGCTGAGAAGTAAACAGGGATGATTGTGGGCCAGTTGAGGAAGACCGTTTTCTGAATGACAGAGTTTTATCTGGATACCGTAATTATATCTGGAAGTGATGCATTTGAGTCTCAAGCCTGCCAGAATCCCATGTGACCTGGAAAGAGGGATCCACAACTCTGATCATTTCTCTGGAAGCTTTATACCTTAGGAGAATCAAGTATGCCTGGCATCAGGGAATAGTCCTTCTCTCAAGGAATCCAACTGGAGGCTGACGGGATAATTACAGGAAACGCTTGGCAGGAGACTGGTTGAAATCCCCTTTGAAGCTCTTGTATGAATGGCCTCAGGCAAGGTGACTCTGGTAGGTTGGGAGAATGAAAGGGTTAATTCCGGATGGCTTTGAAGTTGTGAACTCAGATCCAGGTGAGGGTGAAGATGAAGACAAGAGCCTCTTTCAGTTTGGAGGGTCCCACTGCGCCCCCCAGTGGTCTATGCAGGAGCAACATCATTGGGTAGTGCTGCACTGCTTAGGAGCTGACTTCCTCTCTTGTATTAATCGGCTCAGCAAGCCAGTCTCAGTAGGAGGCAGTGTTGAGAAGAAATGAGGTTGCTCTGGAGTTATATTTGGGGGGGGGGTATTTCAATCTCTGTCCTTCCCAGTTCTGTCACTCCGGGCAGCTGTCTGGCCTTTGAAAACACTGAGTTCCATGGTGTCGTCCGGTTGATATGAACTGTGATTCTCCAGGAATGGCTTGTAGCTCAGGATATATGCATGTGACCTGTGTAAGTGCCAATCAACAGTAGACATCTTGTGCATTTTGAAAGCACCTTCCAGTGCTCGATTCTATTTCCTTCCAGATAGTCTGAACGAGGACAACAATCCTCCTCCTTTTGCTAGGATCTTGAGATCCTTGAAGTCTCAACCTTAAAACTGCTGAACTCCTGAGGCCTAAGAGAACCCCAGAGTCTCAAGGGCACACAGACCAGCACTGTGCTGCCCTCTCTTGGTTGAGATGGGTAGTGCAGAGTGGATGCCACTCCTGAGAGGCTGGAAATGACGAACATTCTGTAGTCATTGCCTCATCATTCTGCATAGAACAGGAGACCAGTCACCCACGTGGCTCACTACGGAAACAGGGTCATTGGATCGGTAACAACCCAATGCCTTGCTTTGTACCTGTTGATTCCCCATCATCAGAGGCCCTCTGACCAATCTCAGACACACCGTGGTCCAGCCATGGGGTTTGAATGGCTCCTTCCACTCTATCCACCCAATGAAGCGCTCCATGCTTCATCAAAGAGGGATGGCAGTGTGCTTCTGAAACCTCATGACATCCGGCCTCTGGCACAAGCAGCCACTCCACCTCATGTGAGGCAGGAAGTTGTGGCTGGCAGTTTCCCAGTAGCAGAACCCCCTGGTTAATCACCTCTTCCATTCTTCCACACGTAAACAGGGATATTGTCTCATTGAACCAAATAAAAGGCCCCTTGAATATTTGACCTATGCTTAAAGTAAAAAGAAGCATGTGGCCTATTACTGCTTCTCCCTATTGCTAAGAAGGGGAAGAAATGAGAGCAGGTGATGGAGTTTTTAGATAGCATACGACACGAGGCTGGGGTGGGGTCGACACAGAGACACTGCTACTGTTGTAGCTGAGTCTATGGCCCAGTGGCTGGCCCTCCAGCCTTTTCTAGGATGCTGCAGTCATAGCTATACAGGGGCTGGCACCATGGTCCAGGCACCTGTCCGGGGTCCTGGGCTGGTGGCAGCTTTTAATGCTCTGGTAAAAGGACATGGTTCCTTCACTCAGGATCCACGGCTGTGGCTGGTCAGTGAGTCCCTGCTAAAGTCCAGATTCTGCGATTTCAGCCAGCTGACTTAACAGCTGGGAGAACGGTGGCCGGTCTTCTGGTTTCTGGAGAGTAACAAAGAGATCTCTGTGAGTTCCTCATACCTGTGAGTCCTGCTAAGTGCAAAGCAGACCTGAATCCAATAACAGCATCTACTCTAAAATCTTCCCACACCAGCTGTCTTGGAGGCAGGATGCCCTTACTGTCCATAAAGGAGGGTCTGAGACCAGATAACCTAGTTTTAGATTCTCCGTCTCTTTTTTGTTTTTTCAAATGGGGATTAAACCCAGAGCCTTGACGCATAAATCTCGACTCTCCCATTTGTTAGTTGTGCGATACTGGACAGATGACTAACCCTTTCTGAACATCAGTTTTGCCATCTGTAGAAAGGAGATAACATACAACTCATAAGATTGCTTTGAGAATAAGTAAGTCATGCATAAAATGTATCCTAACATTATCGTTAAGGAAATATTTATCTTTAAAGCTCACACAGTACATGTGGGATATAAATGAGGAAAATATAAAACTCTGGTAAATCAGAGATGACTGAGCTCAATACTAGGGCTATTGCCTCTTCTTTACAACTTCATCTATGGATTCAACGCAGTGTGAACCAAACCTCCTAGCAAGTGATTTTGTGGTATCAACGAGCTGACTCTGAAACACATAAGGAGAGGCAAAAATCTCATCAGAGAACTAATACAATGAAGACAAAGAAAAGCAGAGTTGGGAGAATGATACATACCACCCAAAGTCAGGACTTACTCTAAAGTCACAGTATTCATGATAGTGCGACATTGGTGAAAAGATAAACAATGGATCGGGGGACAGAATAGAGGGCTGAGAAACAGACCCTGAACACAGCAAGCAGACAATGGAAAGAATTAGAGAGAACAACAGTGCTGTAATGGCACACCCCTGTAGGAACCAGCAATTTGAGTAACAGATCTTAGGCTGCTCGCAAAAAGTAGACCCTAGTCTATCATGGACCTAAACGTAAAAAGTGTAACTGTAAGACAAGTGATTTGAAGAGGGAAATGGGTGAAATGGGGGAGGCAGCCTTGATTGGTGATGGGAGAGAGAGGTCAATAATAGGAAGAGTGCCAGTGAATAACTAAGGATGTCTGGAAAAAGCCATCAGAGATCGTATTATTCATTTACCTAAAATTATATTCCATATATATAAGTCTCTGTGTATACATATATAGTATAAGGGAAGTTATACCACTTGGGCTGACAATACTCCCCTCACCCCCATCATGAGTCATAGACTATCTAGTAAAAAACCCCAAATACCAGGCATGAGAAACTCCCTATAGAATTGCTGGTTATGGGAGTCCAAGAGACTCCCCAAACAATATAGACTTTTTGTTGCCCTTGGTTGCCTCCCAGAGGTTGAAGCCAAGTGCCTGTTGCTGAAGACATTGAGGAACCAAGCTGGACCTGACTTGAAAGTCTCCTCTCTCAGGTTTAGCTTTCATTACATTGAAAGGTACTATGCAGTCTTCCCATGCCTACTTTTAGCACAACAACTTTTAGCATGGCACAATAACCCTAAGGATGCAACCATGGCACTCATATCTTGGCAGTAACCACTGGCTCTCCTATTAGACTTAAAGACTACTCAATAGGAGGGGAATCATGTTTGGTACTGGAAACTTACCCAACTACATGGGGCTAGTGAGGTCATAGATCCTAGAGAAGAACCTACTACTGCCACTTTATTATACCAAATTAATTCCTAACTGCATTCTATATATCTGTCTTTATACCCACATATAAGTCCAGCTATCTTTCTTCATAGAAACCCAAACCAGAACCATCTGTTTGCAACAGATGGAGGCCATTACAGAAAACCATAAGTGGTCAAATGCAGGGAACAAGTGTATAGCCCCAGCTAACACACCCATGACACAACTCAGGAACATTGTGGAGGGGGATCAGTAAGAGTCAGAGGACCAGGAAATCTGTTAAGAGATCGTGTCTCTTAGAAATGGCAGGGAAGCTTTACCCATGACGCCTCAACAATATGGATGCCTAAACGAGATCTGGAGAAGTCCAACACCAATAAACATGATAACATGAAAGGCAGAACTCTCACGGGTCCCTACCCCTAGACTGGGAATCACAGGAAGTTAGGGGATGCCAAGAGTGGGAGAAGTAGTCTTCCCCAGGAATGAGTCCCATAAGTGGTTTTCCAAGACCAAGTGCTCATCCCTGAAACTTTATATATACTAGTAGCATTAAGTGGACTGAGGAGGTTTTGTTTGTGTATTTGTGCACACTTGCGTGAGTGTAGCAATCACAATTAAAAGGAGGTCACATGATTTTGAGAGGGAGCAAATAAGGCGTGGAAGAAACTGGAGGGAGGAAAGGGAAGGAGAAATATGATATAATCACTTTTTAATTAAAAAATACAAAATTAATAAAATTAAATTTCCATGTGATCATCTTGGAAGAGACCTGGCCTTTAGCTACAACTTCAAAGGCAATTCATGGAAAAAAATGATACCAAAACTGCTGTGTGATATTTTGTTTGTGTTCTGACAAGTAAAACTTGCCTGGAGATCAGAGGGCGGGGCTAGCCACTAGTTAACCATAGAAGTTGGGCGGTGGTGGCTCACGCCTTAAACCTGGTACTTGGGAGGTGGAGATAGGAAGTGATAAGGTGGGGTGGAGACAGGATCTCATCCTTTTTGGATGAAGGAATGAGACAGATAGGAAGCAAATGGTGGCTGCTTCTGGTTCTCTGATCTTCCAGGTTTTTACCCTGATGTCTGACTCCTGATTTTTATTGATAATTTTTATTAATAATTAGATTAATGCTTCACTGAACTTTGTTAAAATTGGAAAACTTCTGTAAGAGGCACTGTCAAGAGGGTCAGTGAGATGGTTCAGCAGGCAAAGGCATTTGCCACCAAGCCTGACAACCTGAGTTCAATCCCTGGGACCCACAGGTTCAACTCCTGAAAGTTGTCCTCTGTCCTCCTTAGGCACATACTAACAGTGAATGTCTCCTCCTCCATTTCTGTATACATATATACACAAAATAAATAGAAAATTAATTTAAATGATATTTAAAGATACAAACCAAGGGTTAGGTGCACTTGCTGGGATCTGGGTTTGGTCCCCAGCACCCACAAAACTGCTCATACTCATCTCTGACTGCAGTCCCAGGGTATCTGATGCCCACTTCTGTCCTCTATGGAAACTGTGTGCACATGGTATACAGACACATGTGCAAGTGCATACATAAATTTTTAAATTAAAAATTACAGACATTATTAAGAGAATGAAAAATAAACTGTAGGCCTAGAGAAAATATTTGCAAAACATATAATGATAGGAACCTTTTAAAAGCAAATACAGGAAATAAACAACCCTGCTGAATGGTGGGCAAAGGATCTGAGTGAGCATTTTATTAAGAATATTAGAGGTGGGAAATAACCATGAAATGATGCTCAAGCCATTAAAAATGTCAATTCAGACAACAGGAAATACAGTTCTACCCCTGCTCTGTGAGAAGGGTGGATGTCCAACATGACCAGTACTGATGTATATAAGAAGCATCAGAACTGAGTATGGTGGCACCCATCTTTAATCTATTCCCTTAGAAGGCAGAAGCAGAGGCAGGTGGATCTCTGTGGGTTCAAGGTCAGCTGGGTCTACATAGTGAGTTCCAGGACAGCAAGGGCTACATAGTGCCAAACAAACAAAACAGAACAAAACAAAATGAAACAAAGCAAAAAGCACCAGAAACACTCATCACTGGTAAGATTTGCAAAAGGACTTAGGAAGACAACCTGGCAGTGTTTCACAAAACTAATAGTCTTACCATTTGATCTACCAACCACTCCTAGGCATTTACCTATAAATGAACATTTATGTCCGTGCATAGATGCACATAAATGGATCCATTTTTGCAGCAAACATGTATAGAAGATTTAGCATAATTATAGCATAATTGCTGGAAACCGAAAACTACAAAGATTTCCTTTAGCAAGCTAATGAATAAACAAGCTATGGTATATCCATACAATGGAGTATCATTGAACAATAAAACATAAATAAACAAGAAAACCAAGAAAACACACAAAACAACATTAAATGAATATTGCTAGCAGAAAGAGGCTAGTCTGAGAAGGCTACAACTGATTCCATGATTCCAACCATGGGACCTTCTGGAAAAGGCAAAACTATGGTGAAAGTGAAAGCATCAATAGTTGCCAGGGTTTGGGGAGTGAAGGCAGAGACTTTTAGGACAGTGAAACCATTCTATTTGATCCTATAATGGTAGTTATATGGCATTATGTGTTTGTCAAAAATCCACTGAACACGTTTGTACCAACAGTGAACCTTAATCTATGAACTTTGGTCAACAATAATGTATCAGCAGGTGTTTCTTTAAAAATGTTTGAAATGAACCAACTTCTTATAAAGTGCTAATAAGGCAAAGTAAACTGAGGCAGGAGGGAAATATGGGAACTACTTATACTGTTTGCTCAGTTTTTCTAGATATACAGAATTCTAAGATCTGTTAGAAAAAAATAGACAGTTGAGGTGACTCTTCTTAGGGCAGCTCTCACCACACTCTTGGGTGTGTCCTTCCTGAGAACCCTCTCCTCCATGTAGCATGTGTGCATCAGGTCCATATTCAAATTGTCTTTTAATGAATTCTGCCTCATGAAAAATAGCTAACAGAAGCCGGTGGTGGTAGCTCACGCCTTTAACACCAGTACTCGGGAGACAGACTCAGGCGGATCTCTGAGTTTGAAGCCAACCAGATCTACGTAGCGAGTTCCAGGACAGCCAGGGTTACACAGAGAAACCATTTCTCAAAACTTCTCTCAACAAAAATAGCCAAAAAAAAATCAATGCTACTATTATTCTTTCAGTATTCAAGATTTCTTTCAAAGAATAAGATTTGTTTTGTGTTCCTGTTTATATCTTTATTTTTTTGTTTCTGGTTATAAATTCCCTGTGAACTTATAGATTAAGCATTACTTGTTTTGTAAGACAAAGAAAGGAGGTTCAGAGGCATGCCCATGGTAAAAAAACTGTTAGGACTGAGATTGTACTTGAGTCTACTAGACTTTTTGAGATTCTGCCATGCTGTTCTTCAATAATCTGAGGGTCTTTAAAAAAGATTATCCCACCATTTATGGATACATGTTCAAAACAAATGATGTTGGTTTATTAAAGAAATACATGCTTGCCAACGTTTTTGGTGCCATATTTCACAATAGCACATTTCCATCAACTTAGGTACCCATCAAGAGATTAGTCAGCACAATCAACAGATAAGGTAGTTGTTTGTATGTATGTATGTATATATATACATACGTATACAAATATACATATATGCACGTGTGCATATACATATCCACATATATACTTATAACTGATTATGTATATTATATATATATATAATGGAACTTTGGTAAAAAGAAGAAGAAATTCTTGTCATTTGTTGCAAACTGGAGGATATTACATGGAGTGGATGGTCAGACACAGAAAGAAGCTCATATTCTCTATTATATGTAGAAACTGAGAAAGCTGATGTGAAAGCAGAACAGTGATTCCCAGAGGATGGGAAGCTGTGAGGAAAGAGGTGGAGAAAGGTGGGTAATGAGCACTAAAACACCGTCAGATAACGGAGAAAGCTGGACAGTCCAGTGGGAGGCTGCAGCCCACTAGCTGTATTTTATGAGTGGCTAGAAGAGAGGAGCTCACAGGCTCCAAGCATGATTTAATGATGAGAAGAAATGACTTGGATTCATTGATCACCACACATTAAAGTATCATGCTGTACTCCACACGGATGAATAATGAAAACATAAATAAACAAATAAATATAGATAGATAGACAGACATACAGATATATAGATAAATAGATACAAAATGTTCAGCCTGTTTATTATGGTCATCCTTGGTCGTTGCTCCTAGGACATGTTCTTTCCCTGGTCACGGAGGCCTGAAAATGTGTGTGATGATACAGGAGGGACCACATCGTGTACTGACCTCCTTCCAGCAATGAGTCATGATCTGGTAGACGTGAGAGGAGGCCAGGCGGGGCTTGTATAACCGAAAGCCAGTGCTGATGTCTTCCACGACCTCTGAGTTGCTTCGGTTTTCATATGGGATTTTACCTTCACTGAAGACTTCCCACATTAGCACACCTAGAAGCAACAGTGAGCAGAACAACAGCTAAGGGCAAAATGCACAAGTACCAAAGAGACTCTTCTACAAATCATAAAAGTCCTTGGAGTTAGCATCCAAGACACCCTATAGACACTACAAGTACAGTATCTGGCCCACTGGAGACTTATAGGGCTGTCCCTTAATTTTTTTCCATTGATTGATTAACTGTCCTGTTTTAAAGGATTTAGTTTTTACTTATATGTATGTGTGTGTTTCTATGAATGTATGCCATGTGTGTACAGGTGCTCGGTGAGTCTACAAGAGGCCACCAGATCTTCTGGAGAAATTGTGAAGTGCATATGAAATGAATTTATGACTAGACCTTGGCTTCATTTCCAAGCTCTCCCCCTCTACTCCTCTCTCTCCATAGCTATAAATACATATACCTACATGAAATATCTCGAATCTAAAGTCTAAACCATTTTGGTGTCAGGCATTTCATACATTGAATCTTAACTTGTACTGTAGGTACTGAGGAGAAGGCTCCTTCCGGTAGTATGTTTCCCCAACTCTGCCATTCTCAGGGAGGCTGTTCCGGCTTTGTCTTTATCATTTACTAACATATCACAGACTCCCAGAAAGGAAGGGAAGTTGACAACACCCTAACCAGAGCTTTGCAAGGGGTAAGTCCAGAGGACTGTAGGACAGAGTTTCCCAAAGTCTGATCTCCAAGCATGCAAATAAGAATCTAAACTTGTTCAATTGGCAGACTTCTGAACCCCAACCTAAAACCCTGCTCCTGGGGTCACTATCCTACAGGCTCCTCTGAGGTCCCCGAGGACCTGGAAATCCAGACTCTGACTATGAAGAAGGATGTTCAGTATTCCAAGATGCTAGGACTTCTAGTGAGACGCCTCTTGAAAGTGAGTCATTATCATTGCTGAAACACAGTTTGGGGTGACCGTTTTAATATGAACCATCTGAACCATGGATGAGGTAGAGTTCACACAAGCTACTGACTTGCTCGAGAAGCCAATTAGGGTAAAAAACAAACTTTATTTTGACAAAGCCCGCTGGGCTGAGACAGGCAGGAAGCTCTCAGGCTACAGGTTGTTGAAATTTGAATGCTGCTACTGATTTCTTTCTTTTTCTTCCCTTCCTCCTTCCCTCCGTCCCTTGAAATGGGGTTTCTCTATGTGACCCTGGCTGTCCTGGAACTTACCCTGCAGACCAGGCTGGCTTTGAACTCAGAGAGCCTCTGCCTCTGCCTCTGGGAAGCTAGGATGAAAGATGTATGCCACCATGTCCAGCTGTGGCTAGATCTGTTTCTGCTCTTCATCTATGCCTGTCAAACCCATTCCTGGACTGCCTTCAAACCACACATCTCATATTAGACTAATCTTCTGGAGAATAGCAGAAATCCTCTGACTGACATACTATGATGTCACAGACTCCATTCTGAGTCTGCAGATGGAGGTACAGGTATGGCTAGCATTCTGAGCATCTTTGTGAGGCCCTGCCTTGGCAGTACTCCATTACCCACAGAGAGATGGCCACACACTGGCCCTAGCCATCCTCTATACTTGTGGACAGTTCTGCAAAGATGATGCCAGAGCAATTTCCCCCAAAGTTCATTCTGTAACTTGTACCCAGTTAAAAGAGTAACAGTCCCCAGCACTCGGGAGGCAGAGGCAGGCAGATCTCTGAGTTCGAGGCCGGGCTGGACCGACAGCCTCCAAAACAATACAGAGAAGCCCTGTCTCGTAAAACAAAACAAAACAAAAAAACAAACAAAAAAAAAAGAAAAAGAGTAACAGCCAAGCCTGGAGATAGGGGTGGAATTAAGGAACAGATGAGAAAGATAAAAATTAACAAGTTCTGGGTTCTCGGGAATGGGCATTCTACAGTGTGACGAAAATCCTATCACTGGTTCTTATTCTGGGATATCTGATTGGCCAGTATATCCCTTGCTTTATGCCCTAGTAAACATTTCCTACAGAATGGTAAGGTCAACCTGAAGCAGTTTCTCTCCAAAGTTCCCTCTTTACAGCTATCATCATATCAAAGATGTTATTAGGTACTTTTTCATGTACACTGTCATGTGTAGAAATTATGACTTAGGCTGACAGCAAATCCAGCAAGTCACATGTCCTTTCCCACATGTTGACATCATCATCCATCATCCATCCATCCATCCACCCACCCACCCATCCATCCATCCATCCATCCATCCATCCATCAATCCATCCATCCACCCACCCACCCTTCCATCCACCCACCCACCCTTCCATCCACCCACCCACCCATCTATCCATCCATCCATCCATTATAGCCCACCAACCATAACTGCCTTTGTTATCCCTCTAACTCAGTAACTCCTGTTCTGAGCTTTTACCCTTTATGGTTCCTGTCAAGGATACAGCTCACCATGGATATTTGAATGGAGACATTTGTCTGAGAAGTACCTCCTAGAAAGGCCTTTCCAGACCATACTAGTTAAAACAGACTCTTCCTCCAACCTAAATCCTCCCTGCGCCATTGCTGTTTTATTTGATTCATAACACTGACACAAACCTGACTGAATTTTCTACCTGCTAGCTTGTGTGATAGTTGTCTGTCTGCTCCAAAATTTAGCTTCAGGAGGACAGAAGTCTCTGTGCCCTAGAGTTGCCCTGTTTTATAACAGACATTCAGTAAACCACTGTTGAGTAACAGATGCTTACTGAGTACTAAATATGGAGATGTGATGTTGGGCACGGCATGGTCCCGCTTTCAAAGGTTTCATATTCTAATCTCCTGACTCCTCCAGCTTTCCAGTTCACAGAAGTGACCACAAGACTCTTCCCCACTCTGATCTTTAATTTCTTAGCTGTTTCAAAGATCTCTAGAAACAAATGCAATAATAACAGCCACTTTGAACATTTCAGGTTGATCCTACACAGGCCCTCAGTGGGTTCTTTCTCCATTCAGGTATCAGAACAAAATAGAATTGTTTGAATTTGAGAAAGAAAGAGCTGGTCCACAGTTCTAGATTGCACAGGGTGGGCTAAGGATGACACTCACCAAATGACCACACATCCGACTTGCTGCTATAGCGGCTGAAAGAGAACACTTCTGGGGATGCCCACTTCACTGGAAATTTGGTGCCGGTGGAGCTGGTATACTGATCATCAAGGACAAACCTGGGAAGAGGCGAGGAAGAGGTCAGAACACACTCCAGGGTTGAGTGTCATTCTTCAGAGTCTGCTGACACCACATCCCTGTTACCTTGTCATCCCGAAGTCAGACACCTTGATGACTTGGTTTTCTCCCACCAAACAGTTTCTGGCAGCCTAGAGGAGACAGATAGGCAAAGGAGAAATGAAACTGTGGGGATAGCCAGTAGCCGAAGAGTCTCCCACTCTTAGTGTTTGCCGTGCTGCTGTACAAAGGCGTTGCAGGCCTATCAGAGGTCAAGTATCCTCAGAACCCCGCTGAGCTAGCAAGAAATTCCGCCAGCTAGCTGAACGTGCAAGCCCCTTTCCCAGGATAAGGAATTTATCTTCATTCCTGATCCTAATTATTAGAGAAATCCAGTGTTGTCCAGCCAGTGATTCACTGGAATGCAGTGTGATATGGAAGGCAATGCTGACATGGGCTGACAGCAGTGTCTCCCTAGTGATTAGTATGAAAGTGTTCAGAAGCTAATCCTCTTAAAATTCCCCTAAATAGCGGGAGTACCACTCTCAGTATCCCAGAAGGCAGGCAGTCTTGGAAGAGCCCTGGGAGAATAGAGACTAGATGAGTCTCACACTTCAAAGTGTTTCCGTGTACACATGGGGACTCATGTGAATATTCATGAACCGCCATCATCAGAGGTTCCCAGGCTGTCTCTCAGGTTATCTAGTGCAATTTCAGTAGAAAAACTGTTTCAGCCCAAGTGCCCATCAGTGAGAGAGGGGTTAGAGAAAAGATGGTGTGTAAAGCCCCGGGGGTAGGGATTTATTTAGCCCTAAGGAGGAATGAAATGACATTAGCTGCTGGAAAGTGGGACAGAACTGAGGATCATCAGGTTATAGCTACCCTTAGGGACAAACAGCATGTGTGTTTTATCTCATACATGGTATCTGGACCAAGAAATAAATAAAACGTGCAGGCAGAAGCGGAACCATTTGTGAAGAAGGGAGTCAGTGAGACCAGGGACAAAAGGTGGCACAGGAGAACTGAATATGATCAACACATATGATATGCACTTAGGAGAAGTCATAAGTGACTTTGTACAATTAACACATGTAATTGTACAAAACTCTCCTTGCCCATTTCCTTCATTTTTCCAGGGGGAAACTGAGGCACAGGGAGGCTAATAAGGAGTGACTTTTAAGTTGTACTTTGGAAGAACATAAACTGAAACTCAAATCGCAGCACTCAGGAGGCAGAGACAGGTGGATCTCAGTGAGTTCGAGGCCGACCTGATCTACAGAATGAGTTCCAGAACAGCCAGGACTGTTAAACAAAGAAACCCTGTCTCAAAAATCAAAACAAAGCAAAGCAAAACAAAACCCAAACAAGCAAAAAAGGACTAGAGTGTAGTTCCAATCTGAGTACTCCTAGAATACTTCCCTACTAGGGACCTCCTGAAGTGACTGGAGTAAAAAGTTGAGAGGAGGGAAGGCCACATGGGACATGTCACTTAGTGATGCTCTCTCAGTTTTGGTAGTGCTACTTTTCAGGGGAAGATGCTCCTTTGTCTGTGCTTGCAGGTGCTGGCCCCAGGCACTTGGTCATACCAGGTCTCTGTGGATGACACAGGCCTTTTCCAGGTAGGCCATGCCCTCACACACATCCAGGCACATGCCCAGCAGAGTCTCTGCAGCAAAGAGTCCCCGCTGACTTCGCAGGTAATCTGACAGGCAGCCATGTTCCATGAACTCAAACACCAGGCAGATGGGGGCTTGCTCCAGGCACACCCCATAGAGCTGTACCAGTTTGGGATGAGAGAGTTTCCTGGAAGAAAAAGGCAAGAGATAAGATGACCTAAATTCAGTCTCCCAAAAGTGCTGAACATGTTGTGGCACTAAGGTAGATGAAAGTCACTTTACCCAGCTCATGGTTCTGAGAACAGAACCAAACCCCAAACCCGAACCAAAGACAGTCATGGACCCAAGGTCTGAGGATAGCAGGGAGTCAGCTGGAATGAATGAAGATGGACAGAGGCCAGTGTGGGCCAGATGGGAGGAGAGGAGACTGGATGGTCAGACCATACAGCAGGTCCTCCAGATCACGCTGAAGGGCAGCCAGCTCTACATGTGTGCATGCATGCATGCGTGCGTGCGTGTGTGCGTGCGTGCGTGCGTGTGTGTGTGTGTGTGTGTGTGTGTGTGTGTGTGTGTGTGTAGGCCAAGGTTCAACAAATGCCCTTGTGGCACTGTCAACCTTTCCTTTTTAAATTTTTTTTTGAAAATAGATTTTTTTTCTCACGTAATATATCCTGATCATGGTTTCCCCTTCCTCTGTTCCTCCCTGTTCCTCCTCCCCTCCCATCTGGATCCACTCCCTTTCTGTCTTTCACTAAGGGATAATAATAAAATAGGATAAGATAAACAAAAACTAACATCAGAGTTGGACGAGACACAAACAGAAAGGAGAGGGCCCAAGCAAAGGCACAAGAATCAGAGCCCACACACCCAGGAACCCCATAAAAACACGAAAGCAGAAGCCACAGTGTATATGCAGAGGATGTGTGCAGTCTCTTGCAGGCAGGCTCTGTGCTTGCTGCCCAGTCTCTATGAGTTCCTATGAGCTTTGCTCACACTGATTTAGAGGGCCTTGTTTTCTTTTTACGGCAGCAGTATGTATGTGCACCGTGCGTGTGCCGTGCTGATCTCTTAGAACTGTAGGCACAGCTGGTGGTGAGTTACAAGTACTCTTAACCACTGAGTCCTCTATCTATCACCCACCTTTTCATTCTTTGAAAAAGGATCTCATTGGCCTGGAACCAGCCAAGCAAAAAGGCTGGCATGCACTCTCAGGATCTGCCGTCTCCAGCTCCCCGGCACTGGGACTCCAAGTACTAGCCACCATGCCCAACCTGTTTTTAGTGGCTGCACTTCACCAACTGAGCCCTAATATGGTTCCTTCTTTTTTTCTCTCCCTGTGCAGCAGGTTCTACTACGGGGGCATGACAGACATCAGAGTGGAGCTTTATGAACACAGCCCAGAGCCTCCCACCCAGGGTGCCTGCACACCCCTGCTTTAACTCACATCATGACCTCGGCCTCTTCAATAAAGTCCTCTTCTGACATCGCCCCTTCTTGAATGGTCTTGATGGCCACCTTGTCCTTGTTGAGCCAGTAGCCAAGGTGCACCAGCCCAAATTGCCCACTGCCAATCTCCTGCACAAAAGTTAGCTCCGAGGGGTGGATCACCCACTTCCCTGGGACAGAGAAAGCGAGGGAGGAAGTGCTTTTAGAGTGGGTAATTAATAAGGTATAGGACTCTCAGAAATACATACAGTTCTATCTAGCCTATGGCTACTATAACCCAAAAGTGGTATAGACTGATACAGGTAATTACTGTAACATAAGGATATGTTCTTGAAACTGTCATAATGTGGGAGGGGGAGCATGGAAAGAAAAGGAAAATGATGTAACCTATGGTAAAGAATACAAATAAAAGGATAATTATAAGGTCCCAACCTTTTTAATCTAATTTTTTAGGCATATTTCTTTTTCTCTTGAGACAGAGTCTTACCGAGTCTTATTATGTAGCTCAGGCTGGCCAGGCTGGCCTCAGTCTCCAGAGTGCACAGAGGCTTGCAAATACCATGCCTATACTTTTATTGCCATTTTTGCAGTGTTCATCGATTCACCGAGAGTCTCTCTGTGCTCACAGCTCTCTGCCAGGCTTTGACCAGAATGGAGCCTGAGAAGGTGGCTTCAGAGGGGACTTGCACAGAGGCACACGCGAGCTGTTTCTAGCAGGTCTCTTTTTTTCCTTAAGGATTCATTTTTATTCATTGCTTATGTGTGTGTGTGCATGCCTGTGTGAGAGTAAGGCACAGGAATGCAGGTACCGGCAGAGGCTGAGGAAGGGCACTGGATCTCCTGGAGTGGGGTTATAAGAGGAGCCAGGAAATGCACTCGGCTCCTCTGGAAGAACAGTAAGCACTATTAACTTCCCAGCCATGTCTCCAGGCCCAGGGTAGGCTCATGATAAGTGTTTAATAATCAAGTGAAAGGATGCAGGCCTCGATTTTCCTACTGATAAAGTAAGTGGGCTGGCTAAATAATCTCTGTGGTCCCACCCAGCAGGACCCTTTAGGATTCAGCCACATTAGAGTAGCTTTCTTTCAGGAGGAGGATAACGACACGTTATGCTTTCCTGATGCCTGGCCTAGAAACAGCCAGGTGCCTATTAACCTGAGATACAGACCCAGGAGTAGACAGCACTCGAATATGCTGCTGGTTGGACAGGAAGAGTCCACAGCTGTATTTCTCTAAGTATTTCCCTGCCAGCTGGGTCAGAACTGCCAGTCAGCTTGTTTATCATGCAGAGCCTAAGGGAGTGCTTTGGTAAGCAGCAGGGAGTGTCCTGGAACCAGCATTTTTGATAAGGGTTTGGAAGGATTTTGATGCACACTGACACATTTATTGAGCACCTACTTTATACAGAGCTCTCTACTAAATGCTATTGGAAAATGTTGGGAAACAAACCCTTGGCACTGTGGCATTTAGTAGAGAGCTCTGTATAAAGTAGGTGCTCAATAAATGTGTCAAAATGAGCCTTTCTTTAAAACCAGAGGAAATTGATTCGGTCTTCAAAGATGTATATGAACACACACATTTCTTACACAACCGCATATGATCATTATCCTACCATCTCTCCAAGTCATCTCAAGACTGGAGAACAGTTAGTCTAATGGCACATCCCCTTAGAATTTGTCCTAGACATTTAGGTATGGGCGTTTTAGCTCAAATTGCCAACATTTGCTGCTTACCATATCTTAGCCCTGCTGTTACCGGGGCTTTCTGCCTCCAGGAGCATACTGGATACCGGAGTCGAGTGACCAAACCTAGGTTGACAGAAAAGTCAAAGACTGTGGTTAGGGCTTTGCTATAGCAACTGTCTAGGTTAAATAACCAGGAAAAGAATGATATGTGAAACAGCTACTTTCAAATTCTAAAGTTCCACCACGGTTTTCACACAGCCCTTGAGAGGATTCCTAACGGCATGGTAGATGATGTGACCTCCGTGATGTGCAGAGCAGACCACCGGTGGTAGGCTAGGGGAATCATATGGATTTGGAACTTTGTTTACTTCTGTTTTTGTTTTTATTTGCATCTTGAGTTACTAGTTATGGCCAGCTTGTGCAGCATGAAGAATCAGGTGAGAACTATGTCATTTCTTCCCTAGTTTCCTTGTGAGGGTCCCCTTCTGGCTTTGTCCCCTAGAACTTACCTCCTCCATTGTACTGATGATACTTGATGAGGAGAGGGATGGAGTCAAACACATACTTCTCAGCCACATAGTATCGCTTGGGGTTGTCATTTGTTTCTTTGATATGATAATGTTTTATAGAGGGGTTCTCACTTGAAACAAATGAACACACAGTCATTACCAAGAAGCAATAATGACGCATAAAGACATCAATTGGCATCAGAGTCCCACTGTCTTGGTATGGAAATTCCCACCAGGAGGACAGGTGCACAGTAGTTTAGTTATGTACCAGTCTTGGCAGGCTGGAACTGGTGCTGATGTTGTACTAAGAAACACTTAAAGACTGCATCTGGATATAAGAGGCAACAGTGCTGAGATGAGTTGGTGTTGGTAATACTCATCCATAGTCACAAAATGTGGGAAAAGCACTGTATATGTTATGAGTACAAATGGAAACCACTCTAGGGTCCTCCATCCTACTCCAAACTGAATGGCTGTCATCAAGCAAATTGATGATAAATGCTGCTGGTGGTGGTGGTGGTGGTGGTGGTGGTGGTGGTGGTGGTGGTGTGTGTGTGTGTGTGTGTGTGTGTGTGTGTGTGTGTGTGTGTGTTTAGGAGAACCCTCCTGATGGGAATGCAAACTAGTGCAGCTGCCATGAAAGTTAGTAGGGAGGTTTCTCAAAAACTTAAGATAGAACTACCATGTGCTCCAGCTCTTCCACTCTTGGGGGTGTAGCAGCAGGACACTGAGCCAGAATAGCATAGGGACTTTTGAGCACACATATTTATGGCTGCACTATTTGCAACAGTCAAGATACAGAGTCAGCATATATGCCCCTCAATAGAGGAATGGATAATGAAAATGTGACCCATATGTACACTGGAATTTTATTTAGCTGTAAAAAAGAAGAAATTAGGATATTCACAAGTAAATAGATGGAATTGTAAATTATTATGTAAGCAAAATAATCCAGACTCAGAAAGGCAAACATTGAGTGCTTTCTTTTAAATCGGAATCTAGCCACACACACACACACACACACACACACACACACACACACACACACACCACACACACATGCACACACGCACACACACACACACACCACGCCCATGCATCTGGCACACAGGGCTCTCAATATGGTAGGTAGTTTCACTAGCAGATCAAGAATTGGCATTTGTCTATTTCCTCCTCTCGATAATAGTACTTTTTTGCACTCTATATGTTAATGACTTGCTCACCACATATAGGTCTTCAGAGCTCAGCCATCAGGCCTGGCTATGGCCAAGAAGAGGATCCAGTGTCCACTCAGCTCTGTCTTTTATTAAATCTCTTCAGTTCTGCCTTGAACTCTGGACTTTATTTTGACAGGGGCCCTGGCAGAAGCCACATCACTACTAGTGAGACGCTACGTCTTTTGCTGTGCCAAAGCTGTCACATAAAAACAGCTGTCCCTGCTCCTCTGAGTCAAGTGAATGAACATACCTTATGATGGCCTTGGTGAACAGAGAGACTGTGTATGTGCCGGGTATCCGGGAATCTCGGACCAGGAATGCTCCTTCTTTACCCTGGATTGGGGAGAAAGCGTGAAAGTTTAAATCTCAAAAACCAGGCTCCTGCACCCGCCCCCAGCGTCTTGCTTGTGGAAGGAGGAAGCACTGAGTGGCATAGAGCAGGCTTTCCTTTGTAACAGCCACCATTTCACTTAACACATTTGGCAGTTGTTCATGTGAAGTCCTACACACATAGGCAGACATGGGCTCTCCCCCTTACTGTTCACCAGGCACTGGCCTCATCAGACATTTCCCAACTCCCCACAATGCCTGAGTCTGGACACCATTATCCCCTTTGACAAGGACAGTGAAGTGAGTGCCAGAGGTAGTAAGTGGCTTCTTCCTGGGTCTACAGCTAGAGAGCAGTGGGGCTGGAGTTTGAGCTTTGGCACCTGAGCAAATTCCATGACCTTTTCTTGCTCCATGATGCTCCAGCATCTTCTACACCTGTTCAGGGACACAAACCTTATCCTGAAAGCTTGTTGAGTTCCTGGGTGGGGTTTTATTTCTCAAGCCCCTCCTACAATATTGATTTCACTAATGGGCAGGAGGAGAAGAGTGCTGGGAGAGAGGTTGGGAGAGGGGAGTATATGACAATTTGCCTGCTCTGATGGAATCAGCAGAAGCAATGCGTATGCCAGTTCCTACATTCCTGATGGGAACTGTAAAACCTGAGCTGTTTTCAGAACTGCAACCCCAGCTCTTCTCCTACTGGTCGTAAACATAATGCAGAGCTTGGTAATTATGACTTACTTAAATTAGACATCTTGAGGGCCACATGTAGGGGAACCTTATATGGAAGCCATATGGTTTATATACACAGGGGAAGTAGATAACAGAAGCCCCTCCATCCTTCAGTGTCAAAGGAGAGTTTCTGCATGAACACACACACACACACACACACACACACACACACAGAGAGAGAGAGAGAGAGAGAGAGACAGACAGACAGACAGACAGACAGACAGAGAACAGATGATATGCATTCTAGTAAGCTTTCTGACTATAGATTTGCCTATTGCAGACTTTATTTATTTATTTTTTGGTAAATGGAATCATATGTGGTTTTCTGTGAGTGGGTCCTATCATTTATAATATTGTTTCCAAGGACCATCTAGGTGGTGACAGGTATAAAGACTTCACTCCTACTTGTGGCCGAGTGACATTTCATTGTAGGGACAGACTATACTTGTTTTCCATTCATCAGCTGATAGTCACCTCTGGCTGCTGGATTGTTTTTCTCAACAGGTTGTTTATGGTATTATCCACACATGGTAGGTGGGATAAATTGTCTTCAGTTTTGACCTTTTGCCTAATAATGCAGTTTTGGTTTGTGGCTGCTTGGAATGTGATGAGTTAAACTTGAGACAGGAAGAAACAGACTTCAAGCAGAGGAAGATTTTATCTGGTTATGTCATTTATCCTAAAGGAAGAAACACAGACCAAAGGAGCAGAAGCTCACCAACTATCTGGAGAGTGTAAACACCTCTTATCTAACTAATAATATCTGATTGTTTGTGTTGGTGGTACTCTTTCAAAGAAGTGACTGTTTTACTGTAAACAAGCTGTGATTATAGCAGTCCTCGGCTGTTATGGAGAGTAAGTTTTCTATAGACACAAGGCGAGGGAGAAGGGAGGGTCACCGTCAGGTCTGCAGAGCATGGAGAGCTCTGCTTCCCCCAAACGCCTTCTTTCTTCATTGCATTTACTGTGGGTGGCATTTGGTGAAAGCCACATGGACTCTCATTTGAGCTGAAGCAGCTAAGAGTTTGGAGGAAAGCACATGCCTTACCACACACTTCCTGCAGGGAGCTGAGAGGTAGCCACAGCCGCACAACCACCGGAGAGGGTTGCAGGGGGCACTGACTTGTATAGTGTTGCCAGATGGGACTTTACTTCCTCTCAACACAGTCAAGATCTCAGTTTGCTTTTTATTGCTCCCCTTAGAAAAGTACAGCCGCAGCAATGGAAAACATTATGTCAAGAGGTGAAGTATGTGTATGACCCTGGTGGGATGGGAGAAAACAGTAACTCCTTCCTTATACTATCTAGCTATTTGAAGATACATCCCTGCTGTGGTGAGGCCATGCCACTCATTCACTTTCTGAATGTGGCCTCAGTTTATCAGCCTTTAATACAAAGGAGATGGACCAGGTGATCTTTGAAGGACCTTCTAGTTACAACAGCTTGTGATATTGTTAATTCCAGATGTTTCTTATTAAAAGTATACATGCCTGTTTTCTCATCTGAAAAATGAACTTTCCAAGACTATTGGGAGACTTGAGTAATAAGCACAAAACAGTTCCTGGAATACAGTCCCAGGACATGGACTATTAGGGATATTAGTTCCATTATTATCACACGCTGTAGTATAGCATCTGTTTGAAGCATGAATTACATTGTTTGTCTTTGGCATGTATGTTCTTCTGCTCCTATGATTTGAAGGTGACTTTGTAGAAGGTAATCTCAAAACAAAGGTATGCTATTGTCAAAGACAAGCTGAAGCTTTGTGGACTTGTCATGCTGAAGTGTGGTTTAAGAATGTCTCTGACATGTACCTTTCATTCTGTGGGGACTCTTCCTCCAAAACAAACCTGTTAAGTCAACATAGCATCTTGGATGCCATCTCAGGCTCCTGTCTAAAATGTGGGTTACCCAAAGTGTGAGACGCTGCCACATGCATGAAGATAGTTATAGAATATCTGCTCACAAGGAACTGACCCTCTCTCTAGATGGGCTAAAGCTGAGAGGAAATGCTGAGATTGAAGGCAGGATGCAGGCAGAACTACCGGAGAGATGACATTGCACCTTAATTTTCGATCAAGAGAAAATAAATTACCTCTCATGTCTGTCAGCTGGAGCTCTGACAAAACACACAGGAGGTTCTTTCCCATGTTCCTAAACTAATATAAGTCACATAATCACTTGAATGCCCCAGGAGAGGTTCTGATTGGGTAGGCCTGGAGTTCAGGAGTTTTTTTGGGGGGTGCTGGTGTTTTAATTTTTTTATGTTTATGTGCATGCTCTTGCACGAGTTTATATACAGGAGCCTACAGAGGCCAGAAGTGGGAACTGGATCCCCTGTGACCTGCCATATGGGTGTGGGGAATTGAACCTGGGTCCTCTGCAAGAATAATAAACATGCTTAACCATTGAGTCATATCTTTAGGCCTGACTTTGTGTTTGTAAAGCTTCTCCAAGGATACTCATGACCAGTTAGGTTCCTAGATATGGATGTTAACTTAAAAACAGAGTAAGCATTTGGTGAACTCATTGATACAATAATCTAAGTATCTAAGCATAGTAGGGACAAGGTAAAATGGAGAAATACACGCACATGTACATATACAATTCATATGCATACTCTATAACCTCGAAGCTCTAGTTAATAACAAGGGAAACGAATCCAATGCACCTCTTGAGAGTCATACTTGTTAGACAAGAAGACTCCGAGTACACTGGTGGACCAGCACCACTGAGTCAGATAGCAAGCATATAAAAAAGGAAAGAGCATCCTTTCCCATTTTAAATGTCAAGAACCCAGACTAAAGCATGTAGTGGCCTTCTGAAGTTTGCCTTCACACTTAACTAAGAAGGAAGAGAGTATTTGGTAAGTGAACTTAAAATATTAGCAAGAAAGAATGTCTCAACAGCTCGAGAAGCAAAATATGTCTAAATACCTAAAAAATGACTCAGTAACAAGAATTGCTTTAGTTTGCCATTGATGTGGGCTTTTTAAAGCTCTCCACTGACTTTACTATGGATGGAACAGATTGTAATGAAAACACCCTCCTTAAACAGCACAGCGCAGGGACTTCGTTGTGTGCTCTTTGTAGCTAGTTCTTACAAGTTGAGTTTTACTGTTTACTAGCAATACAGGCTGAGGAATGAGATGAGCTGGCTACATATGCATCCTAAGCCCAGTTCAAGGAAATATAGGAGCCAGGTATGGTGGTGCACACCTTTTATCCCAGTGTTCAGGAGGCAGAGGCAGGTGGATCTCTGAGTTTGAAGCCAGCCTTCTCTCCAAAGTGAGTTGCAGGACAGCCGGAGCTGTTACACAGAGAAACCCGGTCTCCAACCCCCACCCAGCACCTCTCCAAAAAAGGTTCCTGAGAATCACATTTGGAAGTCCTGCTTCTGCAGATCTACCATGGAATCTTAGAAACTGTGTTTTTGTTACATTTATTTGCTGTTTGTGGGGTGGGATGTATGGACCATGGCATGCTCGTGGAAGTCAGAGGACAACCATGGCAGTTAGGTCTTTTCCTTCACCATGCAGGTCCTCGGCCCTGAACTCAGGCTGTTGGTCCTGATGGCAGGGCCCTTTAGCCACTAAGCCATCCCACAGCCTCCCCACCAGAGAATCTGCATTTTAACCATCAGCAATTCTGATATGAGGTCTGTTGGGAAACGGTCAATTGCTGAGAACCAAGGAAAAACAAACATCCAAGAAGGACTCGGTTCAGTTCCTCTCCCACTGGGTAAACTTCCAATTCATTTGGTCTTGGTTTCTCTTCCACTTGCCTCTAACTCTTCATTGAGTGTTGGTCCCAATGGGGTCTCCAGATGCAATGGCAGTCACTGTGTGCACAGGGCCAGGCACACAGGGGCAGTATCCATGGGGGTAACAGATCATTGGCATCCTGATATACTCGATGCTCAATTTGTCCTTACTAAGAAATGGGGGCCCAGGAGGCAGAGGAGAAATCCCTACAGTCACCCACTTGGCTGATGGTAGAACAGGGGTACCTATCCCATCGCATTCTTTCTTCTCATTGGTCTTTCCCTTAACTCTAAGATCCCAGGGTGAGGTCCCTCTGGCAGATGCCAGGCTTTAGACCAGAAACTGCAGGTGAAAACTGTCAGATTCCTGTAAACGACAGCCCCCTCGGGCAGAATCTGATCCCTAGGGAAGCAACCACAAGGCAAAGCAGAGCAGCCAGGAATCCACTCAGGGTCAAGTCACTGCAGTGGCAACTGTTAGCAGTGGCCTGCAGCCTCCCCAGGTTTCCTCCCCTGTGCCTTCTAACCCTGACAGTCCTCAGAATATGTGTCCTCAGACAGGAAAGCCATTGTTAAGCCAACATAGGAATCTACTACATCAGCATAACCGCATGCTTGGAAACTTTGTAGTCAGTAGAGAGATGAAGGAGACTCACCGTGTCCAAGAGAAGTTTTTCAGCTTTGTCTCGGCTGATGTTTTTATTGTACCACCTGGAAGTCAAAAACAAGTCATGTGTTACAGTTTGATTATTTATAAAAGACAATGCTTGAAAATTACGTGTTTGGTTTCTGTTTCTGCCAGCAATTTCAAACTCAAAAGGAAAGCTGTGATCGTTTCCAGAAGAAGAAAAAAAAAATGAAACAAGGATTGGCATAATAGTGGTGATTGTTAACGTGGAGTTTCAGGGCTTTGTATTATGCTCTCTACTTGTGTGAAAGTTGGAAAATTTCCATGATAGTGTTGTGGGAAACATTCATCTCCCCTATGTCATGTGTCAGTGGGTGGCTGTAAGTAAGAAAGTGTTAGGCAGCCATAAAAAATGTTAATACTAATTTGCAAGGTTAGCAAATATCCTTTGAAAACAGTTGCCATATTTTCTCTCAAGACTGGACCTCCAGACTTCACAAAGTTTTTGTAATTGATGAATGTAATTAATAAATGGCAAAAACCAGGAATAACTTTTAAGAATGAAGTTTTTGAATGTTATCACAATGCTGAGACATATCCTGACCATCCTAATCACTTTGATAAGATAAAATGTGATGGGGGAGAAGGGACCCCCCCCTGGGTTAAACAGAAGAAGGATAGGAAGTGGCCATGTGGCTATTCAATGTCCATGCATTTGGGTACGTACAGGACAGTAAGTAGCCCAGGTGGATATGCAGACATGCAAGTTGGTTAATATTCCTGTGTAGTGTGAAAACTGACCATGTCTTTTCTTCAGCCCCCTTCCTTGCCCAACTCTTCTCATTCTAGCCATTAATGGTAGTTTTAAGTATCCAATAAAATATACATAACCACATATAAGATACAAAGAAGTCCAAAATGAATAAAAAGCCTCAGCCCTATAACAGTCAGAGCTTTCTAGCACTTGGATAATAATTCCCTAGGAGCCTGAAGGACAATATAATAAATTACTTCCTGGTAAAGGAAGCCTACAGGGTCTCATTTCTGGACCGGAAAGCCTGCAACAAAAGTAGAACGATTATCAGTTGACAATTTGTTTTGGAAACTAATAAACACAGGAGAGGCTCTAGGTGGATAAGGAATAGTATCTAAGAAACTTGTTTGGCTACTTGAGGGCATTCAAGCATAGAAGACCCGGGTGATTCCCTTGAGCTTTTAAAACACAGTATGACAGAGCAGATTGTACAGCTCCACAGGCTCCCAGAGATAAACTGATGGCCGGCAGGCATGCTTCATCCCATCCAAGCCCCAAGCAACACATAAAAATTGCTACATCTTGCATCTAAATTATAAAACAACTCGGGGTTCGGCAGACAATAGTGTCACTGTCATAGAGTGAGGTCTACTTGAGTTCAGAGCACAGGTAGTGAAGAGGAATATTTGCAGTGTAGTGTTTTGCCTGCTTCTGTCCTGTCTAACTCATCCTTTACCAGAGGTGGGATCAGAGCTCAAATGGGGCAAGTAGCTGTTCTTCTACAGTTGTGTTGTTTTGTGATTTCAGTTGCCCACAGTCAACCTATGGTCCCAGAAAATGCTAAATGGACAATTCTAGAAATTAACTACCATAAGTTATGAGTAGCATGGTGAAATCTCTTGGTGATCATAGATGATCCAAGAGACAACATATCTGCTTACATACACTGTCTAGCTGTGTGGGTTACCAAATAGACTGCCACAGTTTTGTGGTGTCTGCATTCAAATGACTTACAGTATGCAGGAGTAGTTATGATGACAATTTTACTATAGTATATTGTTAAAAGTTCTATTTCATTACTATCCATTAGTATTAATTTCTCAATGTATCTAATTGAAAGTAAACCCTACTGTGGTGATATTTTGTTTATGATCTAATAAAGCTTGCCTGAAGATCAGAGTGCAAGGCTAGCCACAGCCATAGAGGCCAGGCAGTGGTGGCACACACCTTTAATCCCAGCACTTGGAAGACAGAAGCAGATGGATCTCTGTGAGTTCAAGGCCACACTGGGCTACATGAGAGTAAATCAGTCTAAAAGAGAAACAGAGCTCACACCTTTGATCCCAGAACATGGGTTGACAAGTCTTTAATCTCAGTACTAGAGAGGAATAATAAGGCAGAAGACAGGAACAGTCTAATGCAGTCTAAGGTTTTTGGTGGAGAGCATGCAGTCTGCAGTCATGCTGAGGACAGGATTGCCCATCTTTGGTCTTAGCCTTGGCTGAGGTAAGAACTTTCAAGTGGTTTGGCTACTTTGCTTTTCTGATCTTCAGTTTGAACCCCAATATCTGTCTCTGGGCTTTTATTACTTGTGCTATACCCTACCATAGGTTGTATAGAGAGGGAAACACATAGTATACACTGAGTTCAGAACTTGCTGCAATTTCAGGATACACTGTAAGTCATGGAACACAGCCCCAGGAATAGCAGGCTATAGCAACTTGTCCAAAGTCCAGCCTGTAAATCAAAGCAGGAGCCCTGAATCCAGTTAAGCTACCAAGTCATGATTCTCTTACCACATGACATGTTTTTGAATTGTTATGCAAGACTCACCTGAAAGTAGTAAAAATTAAGTTAAAGAATAAAAAGTCTGGGTAGCTTTTCTATGTCTAGCTATATATTACATGTCAGAATGTTTTCTTATGTTACATTACTTTCTAGCTGGGTTCCATAACCCAAGAAATGCAAGCTGACAGTGCATGGTACAAACTGGTTCATAGACAATATGGTTCTTATTAAGAAAATGACGTAAAACTCCTTTAGGTCAGAGATAAACATTTTTACTTGCCCCCAGAGTTCCATCAAGTTTCTACTGCTTTTCATTTTGTTGAAGCTTTGAATTTGCTTCTTGAAGCATAGAAAAAAGGATTTTGGTTACATGCCAAAACAAATACAGCTATTCAGCCAAGGAGTCATTTGTAATAACTAATTTTTTCCTCCAAAGGCATTGACTATAAAACAATTGTTTCAGCTAAGTATTGCTCATCTGTTTGATCTCAGCACAAACATTATTGGAAAGGATGAATCATCTCTCAGCCCAGGGAAGAGCTATTCACACATACTTGATCAAAGTGTTGAAAGACACTCAAGAAAACGATAGCACTTGGTTACCAGCATCTACTCAAATCGCAAAACCCATTACATTGGTCACACTGAACTAGCGAGAATCCTGATGGGCTAGTGGAAGTTCAGGTTATTTTTTAAAAAGATTTATTTGTTTATTATGTATACAGTGTTCTGTCTGCTCATATCCCTGCATGCTAGAAGGCACTGGATCCCATTACAGATGGTTGTGAGCCACCATGTGGTTTCTGGGAATTGAACTCAGGACCTCTGGAAGAGCAGCCAGTGCTCTTAACCTCTGAGCCATTTGTCCAGCCCTCGGGTTATCTTATATACTTCTTCTATGGTGTTTATATTTAGTGAGTGCTAATTTATTTATTTAATTATTTATTTTGGGGATTATTTCATCTTCAGGTTACAGGCCATCATCATGGGAAGCCAAGGTAGGCCCTCAAGTGAGGAGCTTGAAGCAGAAACAATAGGGGAACACTACACACTGGCTTATTCCCAGATATCTTCCTTCTTCCTTTTTTTATTAACACTTCTCCCTTCCCTTTCCTTCATCCAAACCCTTCCACATACCCTTCCCTGACCTCCTTCAAATTCGAAGCCTTCCCCCCCCCCACTAATTGTTATTGCACTGAGTCCTAACTATAACCTGTTCGTTCTGTATAATTCTACCTGTATGTATGTTTTCAGAGTTGACAGTTTGGCACGGGACAACCAACTGGTGTGTTCTTCCCTCAGGTGCCTGCAGTTCTTTGTGTAGGGTTGAGTCTTGTAGTCTTCTCTCCATCCAGCATGGCACGTTCATGTCATCCTTGTCCAGATCATAGTTTTGCAGGTGTGTTGGTAGGACTTTATGGGTGTAGCTTCTGACATGATTAGGAGATACAACCTCAATGCAGACTCCCAAATCCTCTGGCTCTTACAATCTTTCCACCCCTTCTCCTACAATGTTCCCTGAACCTTACGTAGGGGAGTGTTTTGTAGATGTACCCATTGGGATTGAACTCCATACTCTGCATTTCAGGGCAGGCAGGATGACTCAGTAAAAGTAGTTGCTAAGACAGTTCAACCACTGGAACTTAGAGAACCAACTCCAGAAAGTTGTTTTCTGACCTCCACACATCCTTCACAGCACATGCAAGCACATTCTTACATACATACAACAATAATAAACTTTACAAACTTACAGAAAAGTTATAAAACAATATAAAGGAACTCCTATTGACCCTTTTCCTAGACAAACCTGTGGCTGAAAGTTTATATATTTACTATTCTCTCTAGATAATTTAGGCATATGGATGGGTATATTTAATTATTATGTTTATTTTTGTGTGTTGGCATGTGTATGTGTGCATGTGCACATGTATGTATAGTTACAACTGATTTATGAAGGGATTACTTTGAACCTATAAATAAAAAACCTTTATTATATTTATTACAGTCACTCCTCAGTTGTGTCATTCATTGATTTTGCCAGAACTAACACTTAGTGCTACAAATGGTGGTTTTCAAGCTTTGTCATCTTTCTACATCTATTAGTTGGCATTCTCCTAAGAAAGAACTTTGTTTTATTTATTTAGTTACTTATAATCAATGTACCTATTATGGATTATTACTTTATTCAATCAGTTACACTCCATAACTATCCTTATTTATTTTGACATTAAACTGTCCCAGTCTGGTCAATGGGAGCTTTAAAAAACTCCCTTATGTGCCTGTTTGACATGATGAAATTACTAAAACTATTTTTCGAAAAATATTACTTCTTTTCTTTCTAGTGCAACAAGACATCCCAAATTCATCTCATTCTTTCCTTGCCTCAACCCTGGAGTCTTCATGCTCCATTGACTTCAGAAGTCACAGTTCTTTTTAGTGGGGATGCCACGAAGAAACAAGATCTAAGAGGTAGCTGTAGACATTCTAGCCTCCAAGCTAGGGAGTGCATATGCATGGTGGGTACTTCATACACTATATTGAATTTTATCAAACAAGCATTTAACATTCCCATGAAAACTGAATGCATAAACTTTTCTTTTAAATGGTAGTTTATTGATAAACACTTAGCACAGCCTAAGCAGATACTTACTACATGTAGGTTTGAATATTGTCCTGATATTGGAAATATTGTGTTTAATTATGTTTTAAGTCAATTGATATTTTATCTAATATTCATAGGGATTTTTTTCTCAAGAGACCAATACTGGGATTCCCAGTAAAAGAAGTCTCTTTTACAGAATATTTTCAAGGCCCCAATAACCATTTCTTAATAAAAGGGCAATGTAGTATACTGACCACACTCCTTTTTCTCCTATTTGGGTTAGACTCTTAGTGTTTTAGTCATCAGAGAATAGAAGAAAATAAAACAGACCACCCACCCCCCCAGAAAGAACTGTTGGGAACTTTTATAGCCAATCAATAGCTTGACGTAGGGAGAAAACTTTAGTACCATAGTTCTAAAAAACTAATTGAAGCAGGGTGTGCTGCTGATGCATGCCTTTAACCTAAGTACTTAGGAAGCAAAGGCAGACAAATCTCTAAGCTTTAGACTAGCCTGGTCTCCATAGTGAATTTCAGATCAACCAGTGCTACACAATAAGACCCTGACTCAATAAACAAACAAATACACAAATAAGTAAATGATTAAAAAAATAAAAATCAGCCAGGCGGTGGTGGTGCACGCCTTTAATCCCAGCACTTGGGAGGCAGAGGCAGGCGGATCTCTGTGAGTTTGAGGCCGGGCTGGACCGACAGCCTCCAAAACAATACAGAGAAACCCTGTCTCGTAAAAACAAAACAAAACAAAAAACAAAAAAATAAAAAATAAAAATGTGCTAGCTTCAGCAGCACACATATAAAAATTAGAATGATACAGAGAAGATTAGCATGGCCCCTGTGCATGGATAACACATAAATTTGTGAAGTGTTCCACATTTTTATGTAAAATTAAAAATTTTAATAAAAAGGTATCTTACTCATAGGTTTCAAGGTTATTTGGAGATTTTTCCACCAGGTAGCTACTTGGTGCATATCCTTCATGCCTGTAGAAAGGAAAACAAGTGTTTAGACTTGCAGAGAACTGAGTTTTACATACTGATTTAATAGATTTAATTCATTACAGTCATTTAAGAACTGCAAGTCTTACACTATTTGGCATTTGTGATAAAGCATTTAAAAATGGTGGGATAGAATAGCTGATGAAAGTACCAAAGATATGTTTAGTTGAGAGCAACATATCCACCACAAAATATAAAATATAACAAAATATAAAATATAATAAATATGATACAAAGATAAAGACAAAGAAGAGAACGAATCATTTGAACAAAATACACAAAATGTGCTTGTTATGACCACTTCTTGTGTCTAGGCACCCAAGCAAGTATTAGCAAAAGGAAGATTAAGTAGTGATTATGGACTTAATGGATTTTCATGTTTATTTCTTTCTATAGTGAATTTACTTTCTAAATTTTTCTTACTTCATTGCAGAGGACTGAACCAAGGGCATCATGCACGGTAGATACACACACTATCACTGAACTTAGCACCCAGACTCTAGATGTATTTTTTAAGTGAAATATTGACTTGGGGTTGTGATGTTTTAGTACTGGAATATTTTTCTTGTTTTAAAATTAATAATAATTTCAAAATATTAACACTTGACATTAATATATAAGAATATTGGTACAGTAATTGTTTCGGCTTAGAGAAGGGCTCCAGGGATGTTTTTCATTCAAAGCCGCAGAGTTGGCCATTAGTATTTGTCGAACCTGTTGTCTCCATGCGTCATTTAATGCTGTCATAATGAACTCTCTGGAGCCACCTGAGACTTTCTAACATAACCGCCACTCCGCCATCTTTACACACCTTTTCTTTCCACTTACTTCCCATGAGGCACAGGGAGTAAGGATGGCAAGTGGAGGCCCCTCTGCTACTTCTGAGAAGAGGAATGACTAGCTCACTCCTCTCTCTCTTCCACTGAGCTCACCGCTGCTTTCCTAACTCAGCCTCAGGGCAGCTGAAGGACGTGGGACATTCCTTCCCATATTTGCTTCGTTCTCACAGCAGCCATGCACTTGTCTTACCCGTTCTTGTCCTGAACCCTCCACCAGTGGATCTCGGAGCTATCCAGCAGGTAGTACTCTTCATCACACTGCAGAGCAAGCTCCTGGGGGTCATTGGTTTGGTAGTCGTACAAGGCAATGACCAATGTTTCTTCAGGTTCCTGAAGTGATCTCTGGGCAAGAAACAACAAGACCAAGCAAAGACATAAGAAGGGGATGAGTCTAGGGGATCCTGGATTTAGACTAGGTCAACATGCCAGCTCCCTCAACCCACTGGGGTCATTTGTAGAGACAGCTGCCTTCCTCCAGTTGGCACTCATTATGAGTTAGAATTATGGGGCTGGACAGATACAAACAGCAACAGTATGCACGTCTGTCATTTTGTGAGGTAAATTCCAACCCCAGTTAATTCCAAGAAGCCATGTACTTTTCATATAAATCTATTGGTTTCTATATTTGCTCAGCTGATTCATGGATTTGCCAAGATTTATCAAATCAGAAGCTACCAGGGCTGGAATTCTCTCAAGAGAACATTTCACCAATGTCTTTTTATTTAGAATGGAGAATCAAATCCTATGGCAGGGAATGGGCATATCTAATTCCCAGGGAATTCATCTCAATGCTCCCTCTACAGTAACATATGGCTCCTTTCTGCCTCTTGTAGAAACCTTGACCTGTGTCTCTGTTCCACATTGACACTTTAATAGGAATGTCCCCCATAGACTTATGTGTTTGAACACTTGGCTCATAGGGAGTGGCACTATTAGGAGGTATGACCTTGTTGGAGGAAGTGTGTCACTGTGGGGGTGGGCTTTGAGGTCTCATATGCTCAAGCTATGAGTGTGGCTGAGTGTCTCCTTCTGCTTCCTACAGATCAAGATGTAGATATCTCAGCTTTCTCCAGCACCGTGTCTGCCTGCACACTGCCATGCTTCTCACCATGATGATAGTGGACTACACCTTTGAAACTGTAAGCCAGGCCCAAATAAACACGTTCCTTAGGAGCTGTAGTGGTCATGGAAACCCTAACTAAGCAATAGAAACCCTAACTAAGGCATATCCCATATTTCAATTAGGATGAAATATTAAGGACTTGAAGAACAGCTCATAAGACAAACAACTGCCAGAAGTCAAGATGAACACATGTGAGACTTAGTGATCAATTTGGGAACAAAGTAAATGTCGGAAAAGATGGAGTTACTGGCTAGAAGGTGATGTACTGTTGGGAAGTCACAAATTCTCTGCGTACACTGAAATCTGGTATTTATGGAGCTGGAAATAGGTGGTGGGTTGGGTCCTCCAGATAGTTAAGAGCCTGTTGACCTGAGGCTTCATATAGAACTAACGCATGGAGAAACTGTGTTTAAGG